GGGATACTTTGAAATGAATCATGTTAAATAGAACTTAACCAGTAAAGTGCATTATATCCTCATATAAGTTGTTACAGGTAAAAGAATATGTTGACTACACTTGAGGTTTTTTACGGTTATTGTGCTGGCAATTGAATGATTTGAAACAAGGAAAACTAAAGTCAGAAATTGAAGTTAGGAGCCAGTTACAGTTCATCAGGTAAAGACTGAAGTAGACATGGGATAGAATGGTGGGGATGGGGATATGTATCAAGGAGTTGGGGAACTTAGGACAAAGATGTAGGTGGGAGGGAAGGGGAGCATATACCTTTCTTCTGGCCTAGGGAACTAGGAAATAAGGAAGTAAGAACAGTCCTGGGAGACTGTTCTGCATTTGCTAGCTTTTGATGGTCTCCAGGAGATGGGCAGTGTGTGTGTCAGCATGTGTGTCTGGAGCTCAATAGAGGTTGCTGGGGATCACTAGCTTATGCATGTAATTAGCCGAGCTAGTGAAAGCACTCCACTTGTGAATAGACCATTTTAGGCAGTATTCAGGGAAAACATCAGTAAGTGTACTGTGCTTAGACACAGTGGTTCTCAACCTGTGACCCTTTTGGGGGTCCTATATCAGATACCCTGTTCATAACAGTGCCAAAATTACAGTTATGAAATGGTGATGAAATAGTTTTATGGTTGGGGTCACCACAAAACAGGGTACTGTATTAAAGGGTCACAGCATTAGGAAGGTTGAGAACCACTGTATTAGAGTAAGAGAATAGTAATGAAGTTGAAGAATGAAACTTAGAGAAAACATGGAGGGTACATTCTGGGAAAGAAAAATGGCCACCCAAGCTGAGAAAGGGTATGAGAAAGAATTGATAGCAGCAAAGCAGCATCTGGGGTTGGCTGGATGTAGGGCTAGAGCCAACAACACAAGAAGTCTGCTTTGCACAAAAATAGAATCTGAACTACACTTACATCCTAAAAATTATCAGACAGCATTGCTGGCATGGTTCTCGATTAGGAAGGGAGATGTACAATGCAGAGTCTTGAATACTCAGGATAAAACTTCCTGAGTGAATTGGCAGTTGATATAGACACATAAGAAAATGATGTTCTTGTTGGGAACTTAGAAAATAATCTTCAATAACTGAAACATCAGTGAGTGGGGGAAACATGGATCTTAAGATCTTCAAATTATTTGTACATATTTGGGAAAGACCAGAGCCCCTAAATCCAACAATTCTGAACTCAAACCGTTGTAGATAATTGAAAAGAACTTCAACTTTTAGTGTTCAAAGCACACAGAACTTGATCCCATTCGTATGGTTAGCCTAAAATGTATGACTACAAAAAAGAAATAGATTGTCCGCAGAAATAGAAGAATGCTATAGAATGATCTAAAAATGAGAATAAGAATGCACACCACTGCAATATACAGTACTCTGAATACTACATTCACATTTGTACTCTGGCTTCTCAAACTGGAATATATACAGTATAGGTACAGTAAAGGATTGGGAATGAAATCAGGAATTATTTATAGAAAGTAAGAAGACTTTAAAATAAAGTGGTTTCATAAGAAAATAAGAATACAGAGGTCAAACTGGTAGCTTGTAGCCATAATCTGACCTGTAGACTTTATTTTTGGTGCCTGTGAAAATGAGTTCTTTTAATTCAGATTGTTTTCCAGTATTGAAATATAAACAATTTCTGTTGTTTTGTTTTTAAATAAAATATAATAAATCAAGTCATTATTTTAAATACAAAGCTCTATAGATCAACTAAGCAAAAAAGGGCTTATCAGTTAAAATAAATGTGTATTTGATGAGATGTTACTCATACTTGCTAGGATCTTCAGTGATGAGAAAACATCATATTAAATGCTGGCAAGGATGAAAAGCCATGGGGACTCTTAAGTTTTTATTAAAATACAGAATTTAATATGAACAATTAGATACTTTTCTTCATGACCTCATTGGTTACATTAAACATTAAATCACAATGGTTCATTAAAAAATTGAAACTTTTTCATTAAAAAAAAAATCAGCTACACTCCAAAATGTCTACAGTGTATGCTAGCATAGTAAAAGCTTTAAAATAAATACCATGACTTTGCCCAAAATGTTTTAAAATTTTTTATTACAGAATCAATTTTTTGAGCTTTTTTAATATAGTCACATTTTCCCTTTCTCTTCCTTTCTCCAGGCCCTCCTATGTAACACTCCTTGTTCTCTTTCAGTGTCATGGCTTTCTTTTTTATTAATTATTATATGCATATATGTTTATGTATATACACATGTATTCCTAAATATAACCTGCCCAGTCTAATTCTAACTCATATGTATTATTTCAGGGTTGATCATCTGGTATTGGATAACCAGTTGCTGTACACTTCCCTTGGGAAGACTGTTTTTCTCACTCTGAGCATTTCTCAGCTGCTTCTAGTTCTTTGTGTAGAGTTGAGACCTTCTGAGCTTTTCTCTGTGTACTTTGGGCATGTCTTTCATTGTCCTTGTCCAGCTCATGTTTAGGCTGTCATGTTGGTGAGACTTTGGTACCACTTCTCACATTACTAAGAGACACAATCTCAAAGCAACCTCCCTGATCCTCTAGGGTTTAGGGTCATTTTATCTCCTTTTCCAAAATTCTCCCTGAGCCTTAGGTCTGGGAGTGTATGTTATAGGTGTATCACTTGGGAATGGACTCTACAATCCTGGATTCTGATTGGTTGTTGTTTTCTATAATGGCATCTATCTGTTGTAAAGAAAAGTTTCCTTGATAAATAGTGAGGACTACACTTATCTGTAGCTATAAAGATGTCTATATCATTGTTAATTTAGTAAAGTAATGATTATAGATTCTCCTCCAGTATTCATGACTTCACTAACACTGAGTAGTTAGTTGGCTAGGTTTTCAGTACTAAGCATGGTTTCCTTCCTGTTGAGCTGGTCTTAAGTCCTATTAGAAAGCTATTGCTTACTGCCCAAGTATGTATGCCACTACAGCACCCATAAGGTAGTAGTACCATGTTGATCATTTTTGTGCTTCATTGGCATCATAGCTGGGTAGGAATATTGGCTGTTTCCCTCTTTTGGAAGCATGTGCGATGCCTTCTGGTACCATGAAAGCTAGTCTTCATGAAAAGGACATTCAAGTCACTTTTGTCTCTGAGGTCTCCATGCCTGGTTTCTGAAATGCATGGTGTCTTCAGCAGTGGACTTACCTTCTACTTCTGAGAGGTAACAAGGGGGAAATAGCAATAGCCCCTATATTTTGGAAGTTTCTTGGACAGCACTGACCAACAACTTAAAGGGAGCGCTTCTCATGTCTGATATTGTGATTTTTGTTAGGTGGTCTTTGGCTCTCAGAGTATTTTTAGCTCAAATGAGAAATTTTCATTTAATCCATATATGTATGTTTCTACACAGAATTACACGTGTTGTAGATTCTTTTAGATAAATATTTAATAGTATGATTCTTTATGACTTTCAGACAATTACCCTCCTCTCTTTATGCATTTATTTCCCTTCCCCCTCCCTAAAGAACCTTCTCTTGGAAGTCCTCATCATCACTGAGCATCAAATTCTAGGGCTCTCCTGGCCTAAAGCTTTAGCCAAGGGTACCCTATACTTCAACCAACACTGTGGTCCCATTGGTAGGCACAGAACAGTGTTTTCTTTGCCTCTTCTAGCATCCAAGGTACTAATCTAGGAAAAGAATTTTGGAGATGAAGGTAGAAAAAGTGAGTACTTTGACTCATTATTTTTTAGTGATAAGATGTGGAATATTGCAGCAAAACATTACAGGGAACATTGACTTTCTCTTAGCCAAACCAAAGACCAAAGCACATTGTGGTGTATGACCAATGAAATGATGGTCCAGTTGCATATGTCAGGCCCATTCACTTCTTCATCAAGACCCTAACACAGGACATGTACTCGACCATTCTAGACTATCTTTTTAAGAACGTACTTAAACTTTACCTTTTCTTTTTATAAAATGACAGTATTCTGCCAATATCTCCTAAATTATCTCAATTTTAAAGGTAAGTGTTTTCTGTGATTTATAGTAGTTATCCAGATGTGTTTATATTTTTAAATGTGATAACAAGTTTGAAGTGATACAATTGATGTGTCTTTTATGTTTAATAGCACTTAAAATGTGTTCTTTATCTTGTTTCTGGGTTATAGTTATACTTCCCTCTCATAAATATAAGTGAAATGTAAATTGGGAGTCCTCTAAATCCATGTTTTAGAAAACAGGCATAATACATAGAAATAATTATATTACTATGCTATAATAAGGAGAAAAACTTTTTAATTACTTATTTTATTTACTTTATATCTCAATCAGAACTTCTCCTCCCTCCTCTCCTTCCAGTTCCTCCCTCTTCCCTCCCCTATACCCTCTTCCTTTTCTTCTCAGAGAAGGTGAGACCCTCCCACAACCTGGATATCAACCTGCCTTGCCATATCAAATAGGACTGGGTGCATATTCTTTTGTTGAGACTAGACAAGGCTGTCCAGTTAGGGGAAGAGGATCCAGAGGATCCAAAGGATCCAGACAACTGAGTCAGAGACAACCCCTGCTCCTTGTTTTTAGAGGTCCCACATGAAGACCAAGCTGTGTATCTGTTAAATATGTGTAGGGGGCCTTGGTCTGTCCCATGGATGATTTCTGGTTGGGAAAACTTTTTAATTTCTCTCAAACTTATGATCACTCTTTGGAAAAAGCCATGGAAATACATTTAATTTTTTTTCCAGATTGGCCTTACTATAGTTACTAACATATTTTCAGGAACACTAGGCATTGTCATACAGCAGCAGACATACACAGAGCAACAGACATGAAATCCTTAGTGATGTAGTATCTTGATGTTCAGCATGGGTTATAACAGTATTTTATGTCTTTTGCTTCTAAATTTGATTTAATAGTGTACATATTCATTGAGATCATATAGCATTATGTTATATTTATTCATTAAAAAAGGAAATTTTTAATGATCACTTTTGTCATAGGATGAGCATATTTCAGAAATTGTGGAACCAGAACTAGGACCCATGGATGAACAAATTAATGTATACCCAAATATAGAAGACATTTTAGAAGAAGAAAGGAAGGAAAAAGAGAATGAAATTTTAGAAGAAGAAAGCTTACCTGAAGACGGCCTTCCTGAATTAGAAAGCTCAGAAGCTACTGATACTGTTGATGACAACCCAGCTGAAATCTTTAAAGAGGTATGATGATAAGGGCTTCTGTCCTGAGATAGTACCTAAGAGAAAGGAGAGGGTGGATTGTAGCTTCCTATTGAAGTAGAAATACATGTATGTATCACTTCATTCATAAACTTAAAGGAATTTTGTCTAGTCTAGAAATTATGCAAATCTTGTTATCTAGCACACATGCCACAGTGTGGAAATGGGTCCAGATAGTACACTCTTGGGAAATGAACAGAAAATTGGGGATTTGTCTTTGAAATGCTTAATATAAAAAGTTGGGAACCTAGTGCAGAAATGTGTTTTGTGAATATATTCGTACATGCATACATATAAATGCATAAGACCACAACAGTATCTGAGTTCATTATATATTTGTTATGGACACAGTCAAGACCACCAACAGTACTCTGGATTAATCTCAGAGGTGTGGAATACTGACACCCAAATGTAATGGCCTTGTGTTTATTTTCGCATTCCAGAATACTAATACAAAACACCGAGTTAGTCATGGTTTCTAGTTAATGAAATACTCTCATTCCTGCTCTGTAAAAGGATCTTTTATTAATTTTCCAATGCATTTTCTTTCTCCAATCAGAAACAACTACCATTTTGGACTTTAAAAGCATATATTGTGTTCCTATTTTAATAGTGTCTCATAAAGCTCAGGCTGGCATCAACCTTACTATGTAGCTGATGATGGCCTTGAACTCTTGATCCTCAGGCCTCCACCTCCCAAGTACTGGAATTAAAGATATGCTCAACTATGTGCCTGTCATTTTTAATTTAACACATGATATTGTCATATAGAGGTCATTTTTTCTTGGTTTCTGTATTTCTCAAGACTCTCTACTTTCACTGAGGAAAAAAAATTGTTCTGACAGTTATTGTTTTCTTACAGAAAAAAAAAATTAACCTGTTTGTCAAAATTTTAAGTTAGGTTTTGCTGGTCAATAAAACTTTTAAACACCGAAAACATTAAATACACATTTCCTATTATAAACTTTTAAGAGAAATTTGTGTGCCCTTTAGTATTCATCAGTCATCTTATAGATAATGGAATCATACAGTTTTCTTAAGTTTATACATCTTATTTTGTTTTTTAAAGACAAGGCCTCACTAGATAGCCCTACCCACTCTCAGACTTGTTATATAAGTCAGATTGGCCTTGAGTTGGGAAAACTACCTGCTTCTGCTTCCTGTAAATAACAGGCATTTGCCACTGTGCCTGGTTTACAGTCACTGAGGACCTCAGCAGTCACTGAATACCCAAGGCTTCCCATTTCACAGAATCCCAGCAAAGGGAATTATCACATGCCTATATTTTTAATTAGAGGTAGGCTCTCAAACCATCTTTGAAACCAAAGCTAGGTTTTCTAAGAGTACCAATATGTGAAGAAAGGTTTTGTTGTTGTTGTTTGTGTGTTTTATCATACTGTTTCTTTATTGGTTATAGGAAGATGGTGTCACCATGCTGCAACGGACCCTTAGTATGTACAATGAAAATATAAAAGGTATGAGCACATTTGACTTTAAAATTGTATTTTAAGTTTATTTTATTTTTTAATGAAATGTATGTGTCTGTGTGGTTATGTGCACATGAGTGTAGGTTCCTGTGCAAGACAGGAGAGAACACTGGAAATCTCCTGGACCCAGAGTTTCAAGTGGGTTGTATGTAAGGTGTCTGCAGAGAACTGAATCTGAGTCCTTCACAAGAGCAGTATGCACTCATTTTTATTAATTAATTTGTTTACCATATTTCCTGATTAGAGCAACCCTTCCTCTCCTCTCAGTCCCTCCCTCTCACCTCCCCTTCCCAAGTCCCCTTCCTTTCTCCTCAGAGAAGGGAGGCCTCCCATGGATATAACCCTTAATGTATCAGGTCTCAACAAGATTAAGGCATCCTCTACCACTGAGATCAGACAAAGCAGCCCCACTAGGAGAAAGGGATCCAAAGGCAGGCAGCAGAGTCAGAAACAGCCCAGACTCCCATTGTTAGGGGACTCATCTAAAGACCAAATGTACATCTATTATATATGTGTAGGGAGCCTTGGTCTATCCCATGTATGCTGTGGTTAATGGTTCATTCTCTGAGCCCCTTAATTGCTGATCCATAGCTCCAGCCCCACAATCCCATTAAGAATCTGCCACAGAGGGCTTCTGAAAGCCTCTGCTGTGCAGACTGTCAAAGCAGATGCTGAGCCTGATGGCCAACTGTCGGGCAGAGTGAATGGAATTTTATGTAAGAAGTGGGAAATAGTAAGAGCTGGAGAGGACAGGAACTCCACAAGGAGCGCAACAGAACAAGAAAATTTGAACACAGGGAACTTCCCAGAGACTCATACTCCAACCAAGGAGTATTCATGGAGATAACCTAGAACCCTGACAATGCAGCTACTTCTGATGAGAACTGATAGACTAAGATCAGAAAGAAGGAGAGGAGGACCTCCCCTATCAGTGGACTTGGGGAGGGGCATGCATGCAGAAAGGGGGGGAGGGTGGGACTGGGAGGGGAGGAGGGAGTGGCTTCTGGGGGGATACAAAATGAATAAAGTGTAATTAATAAAAAAATCTGAAAAAAAAAGAATTACTATTTTATCATCAGTGAGATATACGTTGTGGACAAAAATGGTGTTCCAATATTATATCTGTTTCCCATATTTCTGTAAAACCTTGAAATAAGAAGATCCATGAACTAGTTATATGAAATGGAGTAGAGAAGAAATGGTACATGTCATTCTTGTGTTAGAAGTACAAATGATATTCTTGCTTGGCTGGGGCATTTGAATGAACATGTGGAGAGACATGTCCTTTATGTTTCATTGTTCAAGGATTTAGAACTACATCTACCTCTTACCCACCCAGTATTAAGTTGGGCTTTTGCCTTAAATCCCAACTTAAGCTTTGTCAAATACTAAGGACTTTTTTTTACACAAGATAATATGACTGGGATGTCCTAGAGCCTAGTTATTTCCCCCAGGACCTGGACCTGTGTCTCTAATGTTACTATAGGTACTGAGGAAATATCTTTTCTTAAGTTTGTTAGTGTAACAACAGGCGCCACATAGTCAAGGAGATTGTGATTGCACTCTGTTTTGCACTTTATGTTCTGTATTTGTGCTATAAGACTTATCCATTATGTTTTTACATCATTACTTTACAGTATGCATTCTACTGTGTTCTCATTAGAGGAAAAAAAAAAAAAAAACGTTCCTGGACTTGAGACTTAGCTCAATGGTAGAATGCTTGCCTAACGAGATCAAGACACTGGGCATGAGCAGAAATACCTGCTCAAGAAATAAAGAAATAAAATAACTTTTTATAGGACTGGCTATCTGACATGAACTCAACAGAGGAAGAAATCGTTCCCTCAGTTGTTTTTCTTTATAACTTCTACAGAAAGAGTATTAAGTTTTAGATTATTTTTGCTAAAACGCTAAAGTATTATCACCCTTAAGGATTTGTAGACTGTAGCCAATAGTGTCAAAAAGAAAATAAACATAAGCTCCAAATGGTTGACCATATCAAACCAAAAGATTATTATTCAGCTATATGATGCATGGCTTAGCTAAAAACATCAGAAGTAACATTAATTTGAGTGCAAATAAAAATAAAACAGCATTAATAAGTGATGTAGGGGCCAGAAAGATGGCTCAGTCATTAAAGCCCTGGCCATGTAATCATGAAGAGCTGGATTGGTGTTCCCAGCTGTGGAGACATACTACAGTATTCATAGTGCTAGAGAGGCTCTTGGGATCTCTGGCCAACTAGCACTGTCCAATCAGTGAACTCCAAGTTCAATGGGAAATCCTGTCTTAAAACCCAAAGAACGTTCATGGACTGGACCCCTTACACATATGTAGCAGATGTGCAGCTTGGTCATCATGTGAGTCCCCTAATGATGGGAGTCGAGGCTGTCTCTGTTTACCTGCCTTTGGATCCCTTTCCCCGAGCTCTTTTGCCTTGTCTGCCCTTAGTGGGTGAGGATATACCCAGTCCTGGTGTGACTTGAGATGCCAGGGTGGGTTAGTACCCATGGGGAAACTCCTGTTTTCTGAGGAGAAGAGGAAGGGGAAATGGGAGGAGGGGGCTGTGAGGGTAGGGCTGGGAGGAGTGGAGGGAGGGCATTGTGATCATGCTGTAAAGTGATTAAATAAATAAATATGTAAATAAATAGATAAATAGGTAAATAAATAAACAAATAGATGGAAAAAGGGGGCATTGTAGGGAGGAGGGAGAGGATCTAGGAAGAGTTGGGGAGGGAGGAGCAAGACATGAATATTATCAAGATATATTTATAAACTTCTCAAATAACAAAATATATTATTAATTATTAAAGAATCTTTTAAGGAAAAATATTGGAAACCAAGTTAGAAGGAAACAATGGGAATAATTTCAATACATTTTGTACAGAAGTCATAGAGTATGAAGTTGAATTATTATTAATGACATGACTTTAAATAAAGTCACTGATTATTCATACATACCACTTTTACCCCCAAATGCCAGTATTTGACTAAAAAAAATGTTCAGTCTTTAAAAAAAAACTCTATGTACACACAGATACACACAGAGAGAGACTTTTAAAATAGTTTATATTTTTACATCAGTATTCTCTAGCATTTCCTGATGAGTCTTCATAATAGGAAATATTTGGATACTCACAATCCAAATAGCTTTACATTGGTTAAGTTCTCTGGGCAGCTTACCATAACTGACTCCACTTTTTAGGAGCTGTATGGTATGACATTGCTCACTTCTCCAGTGGGAGCTCTTTTGGTATTAACCCACAACTCAGAGTAAGTAGAGTTTCCCTGAATGCATCAAGACTTTTCTTTCTCTTTAGTTATGATAATATTTTTACATGTATCCAATTGTAGGACACATGTATGATCGTATAAAGAGCAGTTCCTCAGAAGTTCTGGGAGGTAATGATCCAACAAGTAAAGAAACAAAAAAGTCTAAAAAGGTAAGTGAAATGAATTTTGCATTATGGTGTTAAGACCAAAGTACTGAAATCATATTCTACTTTTCCTATGCTAGTCCCTTAATGGAAGTTTTATAACAAAGTATGCAAAGGGTTTAAGGTGGTGGTTCATGTTTTTAATAAGCTAGCTTTTCGCCGTTACCATTTGTCTGGTAGAGATATTTTACCCTTATCTTTTACTTGTGTTTTTAATGGATACAATGTAAATATTCTGAAGTGCTGGATTTCATCTTTGAATGTTTTACATGCACACATAATATCTAGAGTTAACCAGTGTACTTATCTTTTTCTCTGATAATCACAGAATCTTAGAATAACTTTCTGCCTTGTCATCCCTTCTTTTCCAAATTACTATATCCAATGTTTAATTTTTTTAATCTTTTATTAATTATACTTTATTCATTTTGTATCCCCCCATAAGCCCCTCCCTCCTCCCCTCCCGATCCCACCCTCCCTCCCCTTTCTGCATGCATGCCACTCCCCAAGTCCACTGATAGGGGAGGTTCTCCTCTCCTTTCTGATCTTAGTCTATCACTTCTCATCAAAATTGGCTGCAATGTCCTCTACTGTGTCCTGGTAAGGCTGCTCCCCCCTCAGGGGGAGGTGATCAACGAGCAGGCCAATCAGATTATGTCAGAGGCAGTCCCTCTTCCCATTGCTATGTAAGCCACTTGGACACTGAACTGCCATGGGCTACACCTGTGCAGGGGTTCCAGGTCATCTCCACGAATAGTCCTTGGTTGGAGTATGAGTCTCTGGGAAGTTCCCTGTGTTCAAATTATCTTGTTCTGTTGCTCACCTTGTGGAGTTCCCGTCAATGTTTTAATTTTATTAACATCACAAACCATGTTGTTACTTATTTGTAATACCATATGCTCTACTCACCATTACTTTTTACTTCCCAGATGTCCTTTTGGGATTCTTATTCTCCTTGAAGAAATCCTTTAAAAGTTCTTTTCATAGGTGTCTGTTCGTATTTCATACTTTGCATTTCTGTTGGCTTGAATACACATCTATCTAATCATAGTTTGTGACTGATAAATAGTGTAGCTACTTGGCTAGTCTTATACCTGTTCCTATTGTTGCTATTCAGAATCTTACTTTAGAAGTATATTAGAGGTATAGCTCATATAGACCAGTTGCCTAGTGTGCTTGAGACACCCTGGGTTCCCTTCCAAGCACTGCAAAATAAATTCTGCTTTAGTACTGTTGAGAGTTTTTTTTAATATAAGATGTAATTTTTTCTGTGCTTGATTTTTAGATTGCGTTTGTTCATTGTAGCATGCTTAGATGTGTATTTTTAATTTTAACTTAGTTGAAACTTAAGACTTTTGAATCTGAGGAGTAATTTATGTATTTTTATTTTAGTTTAGTTTATTTATTTTACATTCCAAGGGTGCCCCCCTACCTCCTCTCCTCCCAGTCCTTCCTTGCCTTCCTTTCCCCCTTCCCCTCTCTCTTTCCTCCCAGAAAAAGGAGCCCCATATTTACCCTCCCCAGCACTAAGTCATATCAGGACTAAGCATATCCTCATCCTTTGAGGTCGGACAAGATAGTCCAGACAGGGGGAAGTGATCCAAAAGCAGGCATTCCATGTTAGAAACAGCTCCCCCCCCTACTTTCCAGGCACATGAAGACCAAGCTGCCCATGAGCCGCATATGTGGATATTTCAGAATATGGCATAAAACATAAATATGTTTTTCATGTTTTTAATATCAGTTTAATATTTCCTATGTGTCTCAATACTTAAAGCAATTTCCTAGCTTTTAATTGACTTTATATTATCTATTTTTCTGAAACTGTTCTACTTTTTAGCATATCTTTTAAGTTTTAATTTCAGTGATTTTTAAAAAAGAATTGAAGATTAATTTTTATTTTCTTTGTGTGAATATTTTTTTTGCCTGCATCACATGCATGCAATGCTGGCCATAGAGGCTGGAAGAGGGCATGGAGCCCCTGGAACTGGAGTTAACAGAGGATTGTGAATCAACATGTAGGACCTAGGAACTGAATCCACGTATTCTGAAGGAGCAGCAAGTCTTAACTACTGACCCATCTCTCCAGTCCCATTTCTTTTAAAGATTTATTTATTTTTATTTTATGTGTTTTACCTGAATGCATGTCTGTGCACCACTTGTGTGCAATGCCCACAGAAGCCAGAACATGGCATCACCACCCCTGGAACTGGAATTATAGACTGTTGGCTGCCATCTGGGTGCCGGGAACCTAACTTGGATCCTCTGCAAGAGCAACAAATGCTCACCACACCATCTCTCCAGTCTTTTCCATTTTGCAATTTAAGTGAACTTGCATTTATTTTATTATGTAAAAATTGGTGTAATGTTTTCTGCTTTATGTAAGCATACTCATTTTCTATTTTTTACTTTCAAATTTTCATGTTAGCTATCCTCCAGAGTCAAAGTTTCTGTATTGCTTTGGCTCACTTACTATTAATAATGCTTTGTTTCTGTATATGTTTTGAAATTTGGATTGAATTCATGTTCAACCAGGACATTTGCATGTAAATCCTCTAAAGTGTAAGTGAGCATCAGTTTATATATAGAAAATGGTTATTGACTCTCTGGTAGATCTGAAGTGGCTTCAGGTCAGTGTCTATTTGAAGGATTGCCTGCCCACATTGGCCATATGAACTTCAAACTTACGTCAGCAAAAACATGTTTCTTCTTCATTCAAAAACCAAGTCACACCTGCTATTTAGTACATATAAACTTACATAGTGTAAAAGCCCTTTGAGGAATCCTACATTACTTAAGGGTTGATTCAGTCCAATTCCCTACAGTTTGTGAACTCAGATTTCTTAAAGCAATAAGGTTTAGGTTATAAGGTTTACAAATGCTATTTCGGTGCTCATCCCCAAAGCATTTTTTCTTCCTCAGTTTAGGGTCTGCAGGGATTGTCTTTAAATTTGTTAGAAATTACCTGCATATTAAAAAGTTATACCTTTTTTAACTTAAAGAGAGGTTTTTGCTGTTTTGTGGTGGAATAGTTTTTCAAGGTGTGTACCTTCCAGTATAGAGAGTCAAGGAGTACCTCCATTTTAATCCATACTGTTTTGCTAGAAGTTTTTATAGGTTATATATTACTCTAGTTACCTCCAACTTATTGTTAAAGGTAAGTTGTTGTTATTAGCTCCATGTTTATTTCTGAAAGAGCTACCACCTCATGAATTTTTCATTTCCTCTTTTTTCCTGCTTCTAACATTTCATCAGAAGCATTATTTGTATGATAGCTTTTTAAAGGATACCAGTATCTCACTGGATAATTCTTCAAAGGTTCTAAGTCACATGAGACCTTTGTCATAAGAGGATGATCTTACCTGCTGTCTCCTGCACATGGCCTGGTTGGCCATACCCTTCTTATTATTATGTTTTTCTTCCCTGAGTTCCAAGCTGCTTTATTCTTCCAATTGTTAGCCCTACAAACCTCAGTCCTCAGGGACAGCTTGCTACATCTGCCTGACTCTCACTCATTGCTCCTAATCAGCTTTTCTTAGACTCACTTCGGTGTCTGCCAAGGATCCCTGCTATATTCATCTGTTATCTATATTCTGCATGTCTTAGTGCTGGCCTCCTGCAGCTGCCTCTCCATCTCTCCTACTGCTGACTCAGACCCACAAGCCTCACACAGCCTTCATTTGGCAACTCTAACATTTTTTCCTAACTTCTGATCTCAAGAATGTAGGGGTATGTCCTTTTCTAGAATATCATGGCACAAATTATCTGTAGTTAAGATATTCCAGTGGTACCAGAGAAGTTCCCCAAATGATCAAGTCTTCTTATGTTTAAATGGTAACAATAAGTGAGTAATTTCTTTATTTTCATTTTTTCCTCTTACAAGACAAAAAAGCAAAATATTAATTTTCACCTGTGAAGAAACATGATGATATATTATTATGAAAGTATTGTTAGTGTTGAAAGTTCCATCCTGAAAGGTCTTAATTTAGTCATGACTGCATTCTGATAGGAAGGGAAAAAATTTGTTGGAATGCCAAGCACATATTGTTGTACATAAATGTACATTAAGATGTGATTAATTTATGTTCATACCTGTTAAAATTATATCCCTGCATACTTTCTGAAATTAATTTTTTGTTTGTGTGTTTTTGCTAGATTTCCTTCTTCAGTCGGATATCATTGACAGGTCCGAAAATTACGAAGAATACTAATGATCCACTCCCAGAGATAAAGCCAATAGGAGATCAAATAGCCTTACAAAGTGATAAAAAAGATGCCATCCAGAATCACATGGGTCAAAATCTTCGGGAAACTACAACACCAAATATGGAGGGAAAGTCCAAATCCTGTACAATACTATAAATGTATGTTTATGTTTCCCTGGTCACCAAGCACATTCGTTTTTTTTTATACTTGAAAAATGTTGTGACTTCTGAAGGAAATTTTCTGATAACACTATTTAAAAGTTATAAATTAATATGTTTTGAATAAGATGAACAGTTTTAATATTTATTTATGCTAATATTCTTAACAGCAGTTTCCAAAATTCATGTACCTCCAACTTTGCTTGAAGTGTTCTTGCCTTAACTGTTCAGTGTTGCATAATACAATATATTTTTATATTTGAAAAATGAATGAAGATATTACATAGTTTTGCTAACAGAGTTATCATACTTTGTAATTTCCTAAGACAATGTTCATGATCTTACAACACTGGAACAGTTTTGAATATATTCACAACATTTAAGAACAGGTAAAATTGTAATGAACTTATTTTAATAAATTATATCTGGTTGGTTCTGCTATTAAAATGAATAAGGTATTTGGGTATATTCATTGATCAGTCAATAAGGGGAAAAATTAATTTTGAATATCAAAGGAGGGAGGTGGAGAGAGCATTTGATTCTCTTACAGAGGACTTGAGTTTGTTTCCCAGCACCCACATGGTGCTCACAACTGCTTATAACTCCAGTTCCAGGGAATCTGATACCTCTTCTGATCTTTGCAGGTACCAAGCATGCACATGTTGCACAGACATATATGTAGGCAAAGGGTCTAAAAAAATCTGAATTCTTTTAAATCAAAGGGCACAAAATATGTTTATCCCTGTCAAAGATGTGAATCATCTAGAAAATTTGGCCCTGCCACCAATTAAAACCTTAAGAGACCCAAAAGAATCAGGCCTATTCTCTTCAGCTGTCTCTAACAATGACATTTGCCACCTTATGACCCAAGCACCACAAAATGCATAGGAGTTATGGCAAATCTGCTCTGATGGGAGCTTTGCTTCCTGCTTACACTGTGTTTTCAAAAAAAAAAAAATGAACCACAATCACCTCTCCTATCCTCCCTTGTAAATGAAACATGCCACTTGTCAGTTACAGTGAACGTTGTCCCATTTAAACAAAGAAAACAGAATCCCATATCTGTATTTTTACCTACAGGGTAAAAAAACAAACAAATCAGTGTTCATTGAAATGAATATGGTTTTGAAATCTTAAAAAAAAAAATACTTTTCTGAGTGGATATTACACTTAGTAGATGTCTTATTTTATTAAAGGCAAATACAATTTGAAAACTTGGGTTAATGAAGGTACAGTACCAGTCTGATACTATAAAAGTATCTGAAGCATACGCTCTAAGAGCTAAGGGGAAGTAAAGCTCAAAAATGGTACTAAGACACGCTATTTGTAGTTGATAGAATTCTAAGGTGATCACTGATATTTGTGTTGGTGCCACATGCCTTGAATAATCCCTTTCCTCTGAGTATGGGTGAGACCAGACACTATGATAGAATGTCACTGCCTTGCTTATGTTACGTGTGTCTCTTAGGAAATTTTGCAGATATAATGAAAATTCATAGTCACTTTACTTAAGTTAGACTTTCAAAAGGAGCTAATCACAGATGGCCCTGACCTATCAGCTGAATCTTACCAAGAAATCATGAGTGGTCAAACATAGATGTCAAGATCCTTGTTGGCCTGGAAAAGACCAACTGCCATATTTATATCAGAGAGCATAGGATAGCCTCAGGAATCTGAGCACTTGCCATTCTGCAAATTTTGGGAAATGATTTCTACCCAGAACCAGTGAGCCTAGGAGAGGAAAACTGTCCGCAGATTAGCGCATAGCCTTGGCTGGCATGCTGGGTAAAGTTTTTAGAGACCTTGAGCAGAGGACCCAGTGGAGCAATAGTGGAACAATGTTCACACTTCTGACCTTCAAAAATTATGAAATAATGGGTACATGTAGGGAGTTTTTATCTGCTAAATTTATGGTGATTTTCTTTAAATTTTTTGTAAAAATCTCTCTGTGTCTGTGTGTGTGTGTGTGTGTGTGTGTGTGTGTGTGTGTGTGTGTGTGTGGCTAAGCCATAGTCACATACCAAATTTTGTCAATCAAGTTGTGGTCTCAATTCTTTTCTTTCTTTCTTTCTTTCTTTCTTTCTTTCTTTCTTTCTTTCTTTCTTTCTTCTCCTACTTCTCCTACTTCTCCCTCTCTTCCTCCTGTCTTCTCTGTTTTAAGCAATTGCAATGTTTTGCTAAGAGAAATTAAATTAACAAGAAAATCATGTTGAAATAATTACGCCTTGGATTTATCTTGGCTATAATAATCACTAATGTGACATTAAATTTGAATCGGGAAATGATTGTTTAAAAACTAACTAGAAAAATTTTGATTTACCTCAATAATTTCAAAATTTTCATTGCATACATTCCTAGTGAGTTCCAGGCCAGTCAGGGCTATATAGTGAGCCTGCCGCCAGATCACACATAAAGTCTCACTGACATGACTGCCCAAATGTGAACTGAATAAACATGATACCCATAAATATACAAAACTACATGGTGAGTGAGAGAGCCCCCAAGGCCTCAGATCTACACAATGTACTACAGGAAATTGAAGAAAGCTCTAAGCGTAGACGAGGTGACCTTCCCCAGGGAAGGGTACACTAATTGGTTGATCAGTGCCAAATGCTCTACCCTAAAAACATACATACAAGTAACATTCTGAATACTGAGCAGGTTATATTTAGGAATGTAATGTATATTTGCATACCTATATGCATGTGATAACAATTATTGAAAAAAAAGAGGCCATGGATTTGAAGGATATTGGGGATTGGGTATATGTGAGGGTTTAGAGGGAAGAAAGGGAAGGAAGAAATTAATTAAATTATGATCTGAAAAATATTTTTTTTTAAATCCAGAAAATAAGATAATGTACTAAAACAACTATTACATTAGAATTCTAAAGAGAGAAAATTTGTTTCAAAAATGTGAATACATTTCACGACAAAAGGTAAGATTTAGTTATATCAAGTATACACTAAAGTGATAATAGATATTCTTGTGTTACTAACTCAGTAACTCTTAATGAGTTAGGATTATCTTCCTTCCCCAGAGGACATTTAGCAACATCTAGAGATACTTTTGGTTGTGGCAAGTCAGTAGAGGCAGAGGGAGGAAGTTACTCCTGCAAAACAGCCCACCCCATACACAATTCTCTTCAAAACATCAATACTGACATTTAAAATAACCTATCATCGTGAAAACAAGTTAGGTTCTCATAGAAAGCATTTAAATATTTTATAGTAGCTTCATTCACAATCTCCAGACCCAGAAAACCCAACAGCCTTCTACGGTGAATGGAAAGTAGAATGTAGCAGGTCCATAGATCAAAATACTAAACTATAAAAAGATATACTCTCTTTATATATACACCCATTCAAGTGAATCAGAGAAGTATGGTGGGCTAAAGAAACTAGGCCCCACTGGTTAACCACTATATGATTCTGTTTCTGTGGCATTATCCTAAATACAAAACTAACAGTGGGAAACAAATCAATGCACAAACAGATGTGACTTTAAAGAGCACTGGACAATATTTTGGTAAAACTGTTCTCTATTCTGATCTGGGTGGTTAGTGAATGAAAATAAAATGTGTACAGTTCATAAAATTATAAAGCTAAACTGGGCCATTGGATTATATGTTGATTTAAAAATCTATAAAAGATATAAATCTTAAACAACTCAGTTCAATAAATTAAATCAAATGGATGGAAATCATTTAAGAGCCATAGAACTCAAGGAAGAGACAAAAAAATCTATGCTTTGCTTGTTTCTTATCCAGTAAGTCAAATGAAGTCATTTGGAAATATGTTCTTTGCATTTACTTATGTTGCAGCAGTGTGAATGAGAATTATCATGAGCATCCAGAATGCTATATCTCACAAGCTGATTCCTACTAATCATTAACGTTATCATTAATGTTATGTCCACGTTGTTGTCCATGAAAAACAATTTTTGCATTAATGTATGTCGTTTAAGTGCTATTACAAATCTGAATTGGTTTGTATTATAAAATTTAAAATGTGAGGATGTCATAATTCACCAAAGGTAAGAACATGGCTTTGTCATTCAGGAACTTGTCTCTCTGGTCACCAAGTAACCTTGGCATTTTCAATGGGCTTAATCTATAGGCCTGAAAGTAGCATGTGTGCTTTTTGCCCACAGTCCATGAGCACGTGCCCAACATTCTGCATGGAAAATCAGAAAATGGAGGCTCCTTTGTAAGTTCAGGAAGACAAGAAAATTGTCATAATTTGATATTCTTGCTCTATGTGCCAATAAAAAGTGAATTCATGTGCTTTCACAATAAACTGAATAAAGTAAAAACTTCTCATTTTATATGAACTTGTTTTTTTAATCCATCCATTTATTTATTTATTTATTTTTATTATTAGTTACATTTTATTAACCCTGTATCCCAGCTGTATCCCACTCCCTCATTCCCTCCCAATCCCAGCCTCCCTCCCTCATCTCCTCCCTGCCTCTTTATATGAACTTATAATGATATAAATGTCATTGTAAGTGACAAAATATAAAATAGTTAATTTCTAAATCATAATTTATTGTGGTTTTCCTCAAATTTGATTCTGAGATCTTTCTGGAGAATGGCTATAGACTTAGTCCTGCGCCCTGATGGTTTCCAGTGAAGATGGCCATGGCTGTTTGCAGTGACCCTCTTATGGGATACTTCCTCATCTCAGTGGACAAAGCTGACCATGTGTTGTTCTTCCAGAAGCTTGTTTTTACTGATATATATATTTGTCTGACCCTATAGAGAAGAGAGCAGCGTACCCACCATGACAGTGAGGGGGTGGCCATCCAAAGCAGATGTGTTTTGCCAACAATGAATAAGACACAGAGAGAGAGAGAGAGAGAGAGAGAGAGAGAGAGAGAAAGGAACGTAAGGATCATAGTCTTTATTGAGATCTAGGACATTATTACCAAAGCAGCTTTCCCACAGAGAATGTGATAGAATAGGGCCCCACAGTGGCTGAGCTGATCCATAAAGCATATCTGAACAGTATCTTGTAGGATACATGGGTCAGTAGAGCCATTCAGCAGCTATACCTAGCTGTCTCATGGGGAAGCATTTAAACAACAGCTTTGTAAGGCAGAGAATCTGGTTCAGCCACTATGAGGAACTGAATGAGATTAAAGACTGGAAACTGTTTTGAGATTGTGAGGGCTGAAGCCTACTATTTTAGTTCCTGGTTATTTGCTGTGAAATAAATCTCTCACCAGGAAGGGTTTTTTTGATTGCTTGTTTGTTCATTTTACAGCTGTTTTGCTGCAGGGTAGTCAGTGAATATACAAACAGGTGTGTTTTTCCACCCTCTCTACCTCCCACACTGAAAAAAAAAAAAAAAAAAAACAACCTCATCACACACTGTTATAGCATATAAAATATCCCTAACACAAAAAGATGAACCATATATATTAGTGCATACAATAAACTGGATATGGTTGATAGCATGAGCATCTCAGTGATACTCCAAGGAAATACTCTTGGGTATGTGTTACCTTATTCTACACTCGCCACTGGATGCCATAAAAAACAATTCTTTGGCTTGTATGGCAATATGAAAATCATGTTGAAAGCAGAGATGAGAAGACAAGGAGACAGAATTGTGGAAATGAAACAATATAAATTGTCTATTCTTGGATAATCACCACATCCTGTGGCTTCCCTTGGTTTTAACAAACAGCTTCACATTGATTTAAAAACAGATTTTATATCTCTACTCAAGATGAAAGAGAATAAAAAGAAAGCATGATCTGCCCCTCAATTAACTGTATTCCTATATCACCTTTCTCCAAATGCTGGGGAAACAACTTCCATCCTTCCTAAATGGCAAGAACATGGTTACATTCGACAAGGGAAGCCAGAAAGTGTGGTCTTTTTGTCTTGGAAGCAGTGTCCCTACTTAATAAATAAAGGATTTGTTTATTTATTTAGCACTGGAAATCAAGCCCACTGCCTGTTCATGTACTCTGAGCTACACTGCCAAGCCCTTTAAGACTCCATTATTAAACAGAAGTCTTTGTCTTATGGATCTGATCCTTTCAGCTTTAAAAATTCCACAGATGTGTGTGGTGACACACACTTGTTATTCCAGCACCCTCGAGACTGAGGCAAGAAGATTGTTAGTGCAAAACAAGTGTCTGTGTGACATATTAAGACCCTGCTCCCATCTTCATTGATCTGCTTTAAGCTGAAATATTAAATAAGAATGATAAAGGAGAAATATTTTTCCCACGTGGCATACTAGAAACAAGAGGTCTTCTTTCAAAAAAAAAAAAGGGGGGGGCGGGGCAAGATGGACTCTCATTCTGAGGAGCAGCACAGCAGGATTAGCACAGTGACCAGCAATCAGAACTCGCGGCCATAAAACACAAGTGGTTGTGTTTCTCAGGTGAGAGGATACCCCACGGTGGGGGATTCAATCAGCTTTAGCTCACACCGCTAAACCGCGGAAGAGATCCCAGTTCCGCCAGGCGCTTAGTCGCCAGCCCAGAGCTACCCGCCAGCGCGATCTGGTCACGGTCCCAGACTGAACTGTGGGCCCACACCACCATAGACTGGATTTCCCAGTTGAGAGATAACCCCACAGAGCAGGAAACAATTGGGACCGACCCCAGGTTACCCAGACATCCCCTGGAAAAGACTCGGTTCCGCGGGCGCCCCAGGAGCCAGCCTGGAGCCAGAGCCGGGACAAAGGCGCCAGCACAGAGCCCTGCCTGCGCGAGTAATTCGCCGCCTCAGATAGAACTGTGGGCACCAGGGCACCAGGGCACCAGACTGCGTGTCTCTGGCAGGAGGAAACCCCCAGCGGAGGGGGTTAGCAGCTCTAAGGCTTAGGACACCCAGCACCAAAACACTTCCTGGACTCACGCAGACTCTAGTGCAGGCAGAAGCGCTGTGCTCTGCCGCCATTGTTGCGTTCCCCTGGGGCACTGGGACACACAGCTGTATCCTCGGACCTGCAGGAGCCAAAGAGCCATTACAGCAGCCCTCAGATACTGTGCCAGGGATAGGCCAGTTGTCCCTGGCTGGACTGCCAAAACTGTGGGAATCCCTGATCCTTCAGGGGGGCTGCACCCACAGCGTCTGGACCATAGCAGTGCCTACAGCCGCCATCCCAGACAGAGACACACAGCTTCTGGTCCAGAGTGAGGCACCCAGCCTCCAGACCAGAACAGTGCCCCCAGGTGACAACTCAACCTAGGTGCACATTCTCCAGGTCCAGAGCAAACCAATCAGCCTTTGGCCCAGAGACTTGCTGAGTGCACCTCCCACTTTCTCAGACAGAACTGTGCGCCCCAGGATAACAGACTGAGTTTCCCTGTTGGGAGAAAACCCCACAGCTAGGGAATCAGCAGTCTCTTCAAGAGGACTGTACATGGAAATTTAGTGAGCAGCAGCACACTAAATTTATAACAAGAAACCCAGCAGTGGGGCAGCTGTCTTGAGAAATTTTATGGGTAAGAGGAGATTCCCCCCTGCCTAACATAGACCACAGCTACTACCCAGGGCTATACACCTGAGGCGAGCAGTGGCAACTCCTGAGAAACACTGGCCATACAGTGACCATAACCAAAAAGCAGAGAAGGACTCCTTCAGAAAATATCATCTTCCAGCCAAGGGGATACTCCCTACCTCAGGACTCCAGGAAGCACAGAAACTAACAGCCAACACCTAAATCAGCCCAATGGGTAGAGGTCAGCGTAAAGGCTCAACCAACAAAAGACAGAGCAATATGGCATCTCCAGAACCCAGCCATCCAGGGGTGAACAGCCCTGAACAATGCAGCATAATAGAAAATCAAGAAGATGACCTTACATCTATGTTGATGAAGAGAATAATAGAGGAAACAGATAAAATACGTAAAGAATTAGAGGAAGATAAAACCAAACAGATCATGGCTATCCGTAAAGAAATGGAGGAAGATAAAGACAAGCAAATTAGGGCCATCCGTGAAGAAATACGGGAAGATGCAGCCAAACAGCTTGTGGCCTTCAGAGAAGAAATAATTAAATCACTGAAAGAAATCGAAGAGACAGAGTTGAAGGAACTAAAAGAAAAAGAGGAAAATACAAGCAGACAGGTGAAGGAAGTAAACAAAACAACTCAAGACCTGAAGATAGAACTAGAAAAATTAAAGAAAACACAAATGGAGGAAATAATGGAGAGGAAAAATTTAGGGAAGAAAACAGGAACTACAGAGGTAAGCATAACCAACAGAATACAAGAAATGGAAGAAAGAATCTCAGGTGTAGAAGATACAATGGAAGAAATCGATGTATCTGTCAAAGAAAATGTTAAATCCAAAAAATTCCTGACACAGACCGTCCAAGAAATCCAAGACAATATGAAAAGACAAAACCTAAGAATAATAGGAATAGAGGAAAAAGAAGACTCCCTTCTCCAAGGCCCAGAAAATATTTTCAACAAAATCATTGAAGAAAATTTCCCCAAGTTAAAGGAGAAGCCAATAAGGATACATGAGGCCTACAGAACACCCAACAAATTTGACGAGAAAAGAAAATCCTCCCGCCACAAAATAATCAAAACAGTAAGTATACAGAACAAAGAAAAAATACTAAAAGCTGCAAGGGAAAAAGGCCAAGTAACATATAACGGCAAACCCATTAGAATCACACCTGACTTTTCAACAGAAACTATGAAAGCCAGAAGGTCCTGGACAGATATCATGCAGACCCTAAGAGAACACAGATGTCAGCCCAGGCTACTATACCCTGCAAAACTCTCAGTCCTCATAGACGGAGAAAACAAGATATTCAATGACAAAAACAAATTTCAACAATACCTACACACAAATCCAGCATTACAGAAGACACTGGAAGGGAAAATACAACCCAAGAAAATTAGCTTCTGTCAAGAAAACACAGGAAATAATTAACCTTACTACAGCAAAACAAAAAGCAACCAAGCACACAAACTTATGAACACAGCCAACATCAAAATCAAAGGATCTAACAGCCACTGGTCATTAATCTCTCTCAACATCAGTGGACTCAACTCTCCAGTAAAAAGACACAGATTAACAGAATGGATACGTAAACAAAACCGAGCAATCTGTTGCATACAAGAAACACACCTAAGACACAAAGATAGACATTACCTGAGGGTAAAAGGTTGGAAGACGATTTTCCAAGCAAATGGACCCAAGAAACAAGCAGGAGTAGCCATTCTAATATCTGATAAAATAGACTTTCAACCAAAATTAATAAAAAGAGATGAGGAAGGACACTTCATACTCATCAAGGGAAAATTCCACCAGGAAGACATCACAATC